TTTAGTGTTTGCCCAATAATATATTGAGTATGCTAACGTCACACATAGGCTATTGAACATCTTTTATTGCTTGTAAAGGTCTCTACTGGGTGTGTGAATCTTCACTGATCTCCCCATTCTATTATGATTATCATGTCAGCAATTCGATATCTCGATGCATCATGATGCGTCAAATACATTTTTCTATTAAAGTGATGTAGGATATTTAATGCATGCAGTGCTCTAATACAAAATACAATGGAAACAGATAACTGCAGCACTAAGCACATGACACTTCCTGAATGTGCAAAACTTAACAGAATAAGTAAAGAGAAATGTCCACGATTCAATGCATCGATTTTTTTTATTTATTTCAATACCTCTAGTCTCTACTAGGGCATGGTCAGATAAAAAGTATATGATTTTATGATTGTAATCAACCTGAACAATGGTCTCTAAAACACAAGTACCAGGGTATTTGTCAATGCTGCTAACAGAAAACATTAAGTTTTCCATTAAGAGTCTCTATGGTATCTAGTTATGATATGTTATCATTTATCAAATAGTGAGGTATAGGCTAGGAGGAAGCAATAGGCCTAGAACTACTAAATCACAGGTGTGTTGCAGTAATCATGATCATTGATAATATCTCAAATAATTTTTTTAGCATTAGTTAATCACAGCCTCATTTCAAAATATCTTCCCTGTTAGATCTTTTTTAGTTGATGTCACAATAGAATGCAACCCGCGTCAAATGAAAAAGATTTACATGTTAAATTATTGACTTCAAAGATCTCATTAATAACTTCATTCCACGTTTCTTTGCATATTTGTCACACTATGTGTTACTTTCCACACTTAAATCATTTCTACACATGTGGCAAATTTTAACAAGGTTGAAGCATGACTTTCTGCCACCAGTAGAATCAGAATATTAATGGAATCAGAATATGTGTAACACTAACACTAAATGGGTACACAGAATAACATTTGTAGGCATCTATCTACCTATAAAAACATACTCAATTTGGACTAGCCTACCCCATACTTAAAGGACAACTCCGGCGCAAAATGAACCTTTGGTCTAATTACACATTGTTACCTAGTCAACCGTTATCTGAGATTTTTTTTTTCATGATTGCTGAATGTAAATAGTTGTATCTATAAAAACAGTTTAGCCTATGCTATAAAGATAGTCTATAGGGCATAGAGTAATGACAAATAAAAATCGCTTGTTATTACCACTAACAAGGCTCAAAATAGCCCCACAGTAACACACATAATAAGAGTCCCTACATTCAAACCGAAGCATTGAGAAATTTGTCAGTGTCCATACAGTTTAATAAGAAGATATTTTATACACACAGTCAACTTCGCGAATAGAGGAAGAAGCCATCTTTGAAAAATAGTCCCTACCAGTCAATCTACGAACGCCGATCCAAGTGCGCTGGTGAGATGTGAATAAAGTGATATGGTGAGCGCGAACAGTAGGCAACATGTACATATTGAAGAGAAGAAAATGGTTCGTGTTTGTGTTTCTTCCGGAAACAATGGACCATATGAGATTCTGCACAGTTCAGCGCACTTGGATCGGCGTTCGCAGATCGACTGGTAGAGACTATTTTTTAAAGATGGCTTCTTCCTGTATTCGCGAAGTTGACTGTGTGTATAAAATATCTTCTTATTAAACTGTATGGACACTGACAAAGTTGTCAATGCTTCGGTTTGAATGTAGGGACCCTTATTATGCTACCGTGTTACTGTGGGGCTATTTTGAGCCTTGTTAGTGGTAATAACAAGCGATTTTTATTTGGCATTACTCTATGCCCTATAGACTAGCGTTATACTAGCATTATAGGCTAAACTGTTTTTTATAGATAAAACTATTTACATTCGGCAATCATGAAAAAAAATCTCAGATAACGGTTGACTAGGTAACAATGTGTAAGTAGACCGAAGGCTCATTTTGCGCCGGAGTTGTCCTTTAACACAGATTGGGTTCGATTGCAAATGCCTGTCTGATATCGGAACTTGCGATTCTGCAACAAGTAGAATCAGAATGTGTGTTACACTAACACTAAATGGGTACACAGAATAACATTTGTAGGCATCTACCTATAAAAACATGCTCAATTTGGACAAGCCTACCCCATTCTTAACACAGATTGGGTTCGATTGCAAATGCCTGTCTGACGGGAACTGGCTATCGTAGCTTAACAGCCTTTTAAATACGCGTTTATAGACCACCACGTCCACCAGACAGTCATAGCATAGACATGGTTGCTGAATGTAATATTCGAGCTGACGCAAAGCATGCCAAAAAAAGTAACGTTACTTTTGCATTTAGCAAATTCAGTAAAAGCTACCTCACCACACCTGCTTTTCCGATTTGAGGAAGGAATCACATCCGGGTTCGTTTCAGGGTTGACCGGCACGCGGAATCACGTTTCTTTTCGGCGTTGACGTGCACGCGAATAACTCAAAATGCGTACAGATAACACGCCACTTCGTTTTAGAAAGTGGCGTGTATTTTTACGCAAAAGTCATGATGTCATAGTCATGTCATGTTGCAAATAGAGGCCAGATCTGTTTTTTAGTTTCGGGTTGTTAATCTTCTAAAACCGTCAGATTGTCCGCTTTTTGGCGTCTGCCAAAGCAAATTTTTGTCCTGCCAAAGCCTATTTTGATCGGTGAGTGATGTAGAATAGAAACTGCTGCGCTTGATAGGGCACATAAGGAGCAGAGAGAGCACACCAGACACACGCGCGCACTCTCACGTCTTCAAACAACACGAGCGCTTTCTTGCTCTCTCTCCCTCGCGCATAATCAAATCAATTGACACGATAGTAAAAGGTTGGAAGGCCGCAATTTCAGGTGGAGCATTTGGAGATTTTTAGAGATTATGGACTCAATGAACAACATCTCAACACTAAATTATAAAGGCCGGTTTAGACGCCTGTCTCAAATACAAACTGGTGCAGTTCGATGATTTGGGAAAATAAGAGCCCGGGCTATTATTTTAAGTTTTACGGTATGTACGTATACACAAAGACTGTATCAAAAGGTAACTTCGCGTCCACTGCCAAGATGGATCCATAGAGATACACAAACTGCTTCGGTGTTGCATAGACATCGTCATCGTCTTGCCGCTCCCTCCCCGTGTTCTGTGATTGGTTCCCTAGCTCAGGCGAAAATTTGGTTCATGGTGTCCAGGCTGCCTTGCAGCGTGAATAAAATCGCGCTGTGGCAAGACAGCATGGGGAAACCCAGGCTAGGCGCTTGCACAATCCAATCACGTTTGAGAGGGAAACAACAAATTGAGGGTTTCCAAGATTTTTCTTATTTTCATTTTTTTTTAGAAGTAGTAATGGGTGCTCACGGTTATGGATAGAAATGTAGTGGAGTAAAGAGTACAATATTTCCCTCTCAATTATACTTGAGTAAAGTCAAGAGTACTCCCCAAAAAATGATCCCGAGTAAATTACAGATCGCTCAAAATTGTACTTAAGTACTGTACTAAAGTAAATGTACTCTGATACTGTCCGGCTCTGCTAACTACATAAATTTTTGTTTTACAAGATAACTTGTAAAACAAAAATATTACTTTTCATGTATACTTTCACTGTGATTGTTCTGTGAGGTTTAATTGTGAGTTTTATAGTAGTAAAATGAAAAAATAAGCCCATTAGGGTGTATTTTGGGCATATTCGATTAGTAAATTACTCATTTGCATATTCAAATTCATTTTCAAAGAAACTTCTAATACAAAATGTTTTACTTTTCTTGTAGACTTTCATTGTGTAAAGTTTTATTGTGGTAGGAGTAAAGGAAAAAATTAAGCCTGTTTGGGTGTATTTTGGGCATATTCGATTAGTGTATAGCTTATTTGCATAATAAAATTCATTTTTAAAGAAACTTGTAGGCTAATACTAAATTTGTTACTTTTCATGGATACTTTCATTGTATAAAGTTTTATTTTGATAGGAGTAAAGGAAAAAAATAGCCCCATTGGGGTGTATTGTCTGGCCTTACTGCCACACATTTCCAAAAAAAGTGGAGTATCCCTTTAAAGTAGCCTATCTTCTTTTATGTTCAACTGAACACAGAAACTCATACACGTTTGAAACAAGATTAGAGTGAGTATATGATGATATAATTTTATTTGGGTGAATCCCTTTGATAATAAGCCAGAAGCATTAGAAAGCTCAATGTATAATTGTCCCTAACTCATGAACATTCATGAACATAAAATAGTGAACTGTGCATCATACATTAAAATGTATTAAAATGTATTACGTTGATGATGAAAATATACCATTTAACTTTTATTGGATAACTTTTATTGGAGGAATCTTATTTACTGCATCAATAGGGTTTTATGTCAGTTTCAGGTTGTTGCAGGCATTATTCAGTTGAACAACATTAATATTTTGCTTTTAAAATAAACAAAAGGCCTACTACAATTCATCAATTTTACGACTTAATAAAATGTCATAGAAGCAAGTCATATTAAAGTAAGTTTTATTTGTAACATTTCTGCTATTATCAAATTATGCATTTTTTGCTGGATCAGTCAGATTAATAAGATCTGACTCAAAAGAACACCCAACACCCAACGAATTTCGCACACAGAAAATAATTACCAAATGCGAATTCTGAATGCTATCGAGCGAAACTTGTTCGCAAAAAGGAATAAATGGCACCACGTGATATGCAAATTAATTAACTAGGTCAATCTGACAGGTGCGCTTACCAGTCAAAATGAAGCGCCACGCGACAGCTGATCTATTGAAAAAAAAAAAAAAAGAAGAAGAAGAAGAAAGACCTCGAATTAATCGGTACAAAATTGTTTTTGAAGAATCCTTTTTTCATTTATCAAAATCACTTGGCAGAAATTATCTTTATGGTCATGTGTTTCGTTTCTTTGCTATGGTGAGTTTGAATTTTTCCCTAATAAGGAAAATTTAGCCTAGGGGATCGTGATTATCCTTCAGATAAGAAAACATTGTTTTTCAGGTTTCTTTTGTTGGGTTTATGTCCTATCTCTGTTCCTGATTCCATACCTATTGGTAAGCAAACGTTTAGTTCAAGTGTTTCAGTTAATGCTTTTCTAGCTAGACAATTGTACTATGGACGACAAGGCATTTTAAGGTGTTATAAATTTCTCAGGTATGTTCAGGACAGAGTGCCATGATCGTCATTTCTGGTTGTCTGTCAACTCAAATTTCCTTGGCAGCAAGTTTAAGTTTGATGTTCAAGGTATCAATTTTTTTAAGCATCTCCTTTAATTAACTGTTTGGATTCTTGTCAAAATTTAACATGCCTGAATTTCTCACTAAATTGTTCCTGGTTTTAAGCATATTGTGTGGGTGAATTAAGGTAATCCAGGGCAGTTTTTGTCATTTTGACTTAAAGCTACAATACCTAAGATTTAGCTGCCGCTATAGGGCGCTACATTCAAAACAACAACAACAGCTTTGCTTGATGACGACGTGGAGGAACGCGGAATGATGGGAACTGTTGTTTTCAACTCCACCGTGGATAAATCAGTCAGACGGGAATCAAAAATTAGTTGTCATGTCATTGTCATTAAACTGAAATAACCGCAAAAAAGTCAGGTTTAAAAGTAAATTAGTTATCACAGATGTTACTGTACGAGTCACTGGACGAAGCTATGGTGGAGAGGGTTTGAAGGGGCAGGTCTCTTGAAAGGAGTTGACGTGGCTGGTCCTTCTTTTTGGTAACTTTATAAAAATAAAAAATCAATTTAATGTACATTTGACGCATCTTTTCATGTCGTGGAAGTATTCAAGCACAGCTACAGTTTCACAAAATTAACGTTAAGGGGGTCGCACACCGGACGAGAAGCTCAGCGCCGCGTCGCGCCACATCTTTAAAATTCGAACACATTATTATCTGAAAGTGTACACACACCGGCAGCGCGATTCGGCGTCTGTCCGCAGCGCCCAGCAATGCCTCAGGACCGTGTTCAAAATCCTGCTGCGCCAGAGCGCCATTTACATAGTTTTATATAAAAATGTTTTATTATTTTTGTCTCAAATCGTTGCTAATGGATCCTGACTTCGCCCTATGCTGCAATATGCATTTAGTTTTGCGTTCATTTACAGAAATCAGCAGCTTGAATGACAATTGCTGATGTTATTAGATTTATCAGGTGATTCTCAATTCATTCAGTTAACAGATGCTCTGAGGTAAAGTTTTCAGAATGCAGACTCCGCAACGATTGTATTTAATTGTACAGTACAATCATAACATAGAACAGACATTATCTTCATTTCCTGTCATTAAACATAACAATATTGCTGGCCATACACTGAGAAAGTGTGTGTCCGGTGTGCGATACTGTGGAGTTGTCCTAAACGTGGCGCGGTGCTTCTCGTCCAGTGTGTGACCCCCCTTTACAGCCAACAGTTCACGTTCCGAGAATAAATGAAAAGAATAATTGTGCTCCATTCCATAACAAATGCGCGAAACAAGCTGACGTTTGTTGCTTGATAGATGCTAACGCACAACTACCGCATTTATCCAGGACTACACGCAAGTACGAGAGGAAACCGAGGTAAGCGGATATGACGCGTTTGACTCGCGACTCCCAGCTCACCCCTGCTCACACGCCCCGTTTCCTTGGTTAAAATCGCGATTTAAACATTGTTTGAAACATTTGGAATATTGTAAGTTATCACCTTAACTAAATATAGAACACTGGCCTTGTGATTTGGGGATATTTTAATGCAAAAATCTTAGGTATTCCACCTTTAAGCAATTTATTGTAAAGTCAACAGAACACCTGTTGACCAACAAATGATACCTCAATCACAGGACAAAACAAATACAAGATCATAATGGCTTACTTGATCTTAAGGTAGAGTAGGCTTGCTTATTACTGGAGCAAATTTGTACACCTCAGAGTTTAAATATCTAAATTGCCCAATGTCCCAGATTATCCTAGATAATAATGATTATCCTTCCCTGTATCTAGTCATTGAAATTATGTAATTGCCTTCACTCTCACAGAAGACTCTGAGGTCCATGAGGTTTCTGGTCAGTGGGCGGCAGAGTGTGGCTATACTATGGCTCTTGACTCCTGGGGTGATTTACTGCTGCGTGTTTCCTACCTGGCCTGTCTTGTGGAGAACCAGGTAAGATATACTTAAATGTTGTTCAAAATTAGGCTTTTCCATACAATAAGTTCAAAGTCAACCCCATGTCACTGAGTTTTCATATATTTAATTTATTTATTTATTAGTAAAACTTCTTGACATTAAATACACTGTAAAAAAAGTTTTAATAAAAAAAACTTTATAAGTGCTTAACATAAAACATAACATATTTACATAACATAAAAATCTGTTTGTCGGTTCAGTTACCTTACTGAGATAACTGCAAATTGTTTAACATTGCATTAAATTGATTTAAATATGATTTATGCTAGACTGGTTTGGTTGTTTGTGGTTTCAGAAGGAGACAGAATTTCGGTTGCTGGTGTGGTTTATAAATCAGGACTCAAATTGGGAGGAGAAATCCTACCCTTTACAGCTCACCTGCCCTCTTCAGGTCCCATGGGGGCCTCGGGAGCTTGTCTGTGAGCAGAACTACATGGAGGTGAAACAAATCTCTAATATTTTATATTTATAAGTTGCAAATTTCCAAATATAAAACTGTTGTTTGGAAGCACAAACCAGTCCCATGATGCTTCTCTATTTCCAAGGTGTCGGTCCTGAAACAGCTGCCTCCTAATAATCACATGGGTACAGCGTGGGTAACCCCAGCGCCTGTGGTAAGAGACTGTGTGCATTTAGACCCTTTGGATTTAATGTAACCTAAGCCACGCCATTGATTACTGCCTGAATTCAGCTACTTAAAGCCATAAGCTATATTCCTCAACATTGTAGCTTAAATGATTGCCAATAAATTGATGATTGCTCTTTGACAGTCATCTATTTTACACTTAAGACAACCTAATTTGAGTCTTTATTGATTTTTTTTTTTTTTTTTTTTTTTTCAAGAATTGTTTACTTGCAGCAAAATGGACCATTATCTGCTCGAGCATCAGACTTTTCAATTGTGACATCCGATCATGTTTTCATTAAATTTTTTAGAGCATTGCTTGGTCCTCACACTTGTATCATCTTTGTATATCATCATTAAATTAAATTTTTTAGAGTATCGCTTGGTCTTCACACTTGTATCATCTTTGTATATCATCATATCACCCAGCCCTACAACTTGCTCTATGATCGCTCTTGCTCTAGCACTAAAAGGCATTACGTACAAAACAGTATGACTTTCTGTAAACCTGCATTGAACCAATACGTATTGTGAAAAGCACTATACAAATAAATTTGACTTGATTGACAGATCGTAATTCATCATTGTAACTCAAGCATATTGTAGTTGTGTTTGGTGCTGCTATACAGAAATTACACAATTCACCATTTAACAGTGTTATGTGAGCCTCAAGCCCTCCCCAGCTATCAATACATGTTTTTTGTTCATCTTAGGAGCTGGATGAGGGTCTGAGGGAATGGCGGGTGGTGTTCCGCATACCTACGCTTCATCAGGAGGGTGGCATGAAGGAGGAAACTGTGCCAGTGAGAATGGCACACCTGCTGGGCTACCACATTAACACCACTGACAGTCGCATCCTCCTGCGTTGTGCCTACAATTCCAAGCTGGCATACATGCTACAGGTAAAGGATAAATCAGAGGACTAGGGTTCAAAAATGTTCTACTTCTCTTGAGCTTCTCTTGTATTCTTGACATTGCTTTAATTCCAGTTGTAAATGAAATTATAGAATACTCCACCCAAAAATGACAATCGCTATCATTTACTTCCCCTCATTTCGTTCCAAAATGTTATTACTTTATTCTGTGTAACATAAAATAAGATATTTTGAAGAAGATGCATTGATATTTTGGAATTCAGTATGCTCCAATGATGTGTTAAAATTATATTTTGTTTTTTGTAGAAGGAAGGTTATGGACCTGTATTTACACAATGACACAAGGGTGATAAAAGTAGTCCACCCAAAAATAAAAAAATTAAGTCAATGCTGATGTTCCTTGGTGTAAAAGCCTAAATTTAAAGGGGTGGTTGATTGTGATTTCACTTTTTTCATTTTAAGTAGTGTGTAATGTTGCTGTTGGTGCATGAACATTATCTGCAAAGTTGCAGCACTGAAACTTCAGTGTAGTTCAGTCTTTTAAAAATCATGAAGTTTAATGCCTACAAAAACGACTCTAATGGGACTACACCGGGTTTTATACGTAACTAACCCATACATTTGCATCAACCCTCCCTCTGGAAAATGCAAAAAAAGGCATGGCCATATTTCTGCGGCTCGTCGAAAGTGTGTTATGTTCACCCACCTGTCAGGTCTTTTGTGTTCGGGCTTCTCACGGACGTTGTAGTTCGTCAACAATGGATACAATTTATGTCTATGTTCCTGAAAATTACAGTCGTAATTTAGCTCTCTGTGCTGCGCATTTACGGAAGACAGCTTCCAGAATCTCCACGAATTCAATGCCGGATTCAACAAGAAACTGTTATTAAAACATGAAGCAGTTCCAACTTTAAAACCAGAGGCAGCAGTGGCTGGGCAACAACCTGTAAGTAAGACTTATTTTAAATTTGTTTGCATGTATAATTTCAGACGTAATGTTTTAGTTTTATCAAATGCCAGCGCTGGCTTTATAGCCACTTAGTTATGCTATTTTGTGTCTACGACAAACGCATACAAACATTTTGGACCTGAATTGTATACGTACTAATTTTGTAAATCTATTTTTCATGTATATACTTTGATGTTATTTTTCGATTTGATCAAGAATGTAAGCCAATGCTGTTTGTGTATATTGTAGCCAGTTAGTGTGATGCTATTGTGTAAAACGTGTATAAAGTTAAAAAAAATAGAGGCAAATTACCATTCAGAAACATTTTGTAAGAGCTGTGTTTAGGGAGGTTCTGCTTGACTCTTCATTGCCGCTTTCTGGGTCTGATTCTGGCTCAAACTGAGACTGCAGTACCGTCACCATTATGTACATTTGACAGGAACAGATGCAATTCTCGCCCGTAAAGGTAATGGGCGTGAAGTATCTGGACAACGTGCACAACAGTTTAGCCAATCACAACACACCAGCCCAAACTAACCAATCTGAGCCCATTGCCTGTTTCTGAAGGAGTGGTTTCATTGAATCAGGATGCAAACCGGTCGTTCAAATGATGACAGAGGAGAAAGTTGCTTACAATAAAGGTGAAATGTATGAAAAATAAAACTTTTTAAAAAAAAGAAAAACCACGAATACGTTATATTGCACCCCATGAACACAACAGGGCCGGCCCGTGGCATAGGCGGTATAGGCAAATGCTAAGGGCGCTACCACTCAAGGGGCGCCAAAATGAGTGAACGAGTGCATTTTTATTTATTTTTAATTGTTTTACTAATACTACTTTAAAACCATTAATTCAAAATACTACAAAATAAAGCAAAACAACTGCACAAAAACTTAACTAAGACCCCTGACTCCGGTCCGGTGCATCAATCTCCCCCATAGATCTCCCCACGCCCAGCGAGTGCTTGAAGTGCGCCAGAAACAGAGCGCGGCGCGCGAGATCAGTTTACTGCTGGTAATTTTAGCGTCGCCCCTCGCAGTCGCCGCATCTAATGTAGACAACATTGCTTTCGTTTGAGGGTTTACACTCAAGCACTCCCTTCGAAACGGGCCTCGCAGCCATCTAGACACGGTGAAAGTTTCCTCATTGTGACGGATGGCCGAATTTTCATCAAATTAGCATTATAGTCTGCTGCGATAGATACAGTGCCAAAAAGAAGATACAAGGGGATAAAGACAGAGCTAAAGTGATGTAATGAACAGTTTATCTAATTGCATAGTATTAAGATGCTATAATTTAATGGCAGTTATTTATTTCCTTATAACTTTATGCTAATAGTGCTGAGTTCTTCAGATGCGATTTGTAACAAACATGTCAGTCTTTTTTAGACGCATAACTTACTTTCACTTTTATTATTTAATGTTTTACTATACAGTTGGGATATATGGCATTTTTTTATTTAATTGCCAAAATTAATAACGATATTTATAGGCTACAGGTTTATTAAAAGTAGCTACCAGGGTTTCTTGTAAAATTTACATTAAAGACATTTAGCAGTTTCATTCATGTTGAAAACATAAAACATGCCATAATTTAGTGGAAGATTGCTGCCATCAACACCCAAACAAACACTTTTTCTAGTGCTCAATGAATAGTTTGTGCATGAATGACATTTGGAACATGACATCACTGTTGTTGTTTTTTTTTTTTTTTTTTTTTTTTTTTTTTTTTTAATTACAAAAAAATAAACCATCTCTGAACATGACTTGATTATGGCACTATTTTCTTCTGGATCTGCTGTACAGGAGAAGCAAACTTGGTTGCATTATTTTCCTGCTATTAAAGCTGCTTGAAATAATCTGTGTTGTAGGCTAAAAAGCGCTATATAAAAATAAAGGGGACTTGACTTGAATGCTAGATGTAATGCTCTTGCTATATATATATATATATATATATATATATATATATATTTGATAACATTTATACTAAATATCAATTATAATGACTAAATAATCATCAACACAAATGATGGGGTGAAATGGGCTGTAATGCATGGGGCGCCAGGTAAAATCTTGCCTAGGGCAGCAAATTGGTCAGGGCCGGCCCTGGAACACAATCATGCAAAGAAAAAAAGCAGTAAACCACCCCTTTAAATTTCACTGTGAGATGTTCTACAAATCACATTGTTTTTCTGAATGGTTTCAGTTGGGTGAGACAAGCGTGGAAGTGGTCAGTGCCACCATCTTGTACAAGCTAAAATGGACCTTACTGACTATGGACATGTCAGTGGCCTGCACTATGAGTATGTTATTCTTGCGGTTTCCCATCTCCCATTTTAGTCCTCCTTGTTGAGATTTATAGCTCATAAACTGTTGCTTTAGGATGTACTATGTTTCTGAACTTGATTATCTTTTATGCAAACGTTCAACCACCTCTTCAAATCCTCTTGTAGGTCAGGCCACAATGGATGGTTCAGATGTGTTATGGTCTCTCCCACGCAACCTCCCCCCTCTGGTCCATCCTCCCTTCATAGAAAAAGGCCTTAAGTTAGGTGTCGGGGGACGTTACCTGTCCGAGTGTGTTGCCCAACAGCGTGGTTACATGATTCATGACAACAATGGAACTTTGGAGATTCGTATTCCTTTTGGTGCTGAAGGAGGATTCATCAAGGTATACCAGAGATCATATGCCCTCAGTGTTTGGTTTAAATGCGTCACCTTTTCTTTTACCCAAATATAACTTTTTTTTAATGTAATGTTTCTATTATCGACTGTCTGTCTCCTCCCTCGGCCAGAGTCACGTGATTGATGGACATTACTCTCAGTCATATTTTGTTGACGTCTTCCTGTTGCGTGAATGGGAGGATACAGCGTGGAGTCTGACTCAGCAACGGACATTCAGAAAACTTTATATTTATCACCAGCCCCGACCAATCATGCTTATTAACAGTGAGAAACGCAAACCAAACCGCCTACACATTCTTCTATAGATGCTACGTTACTTTTCACACATAGCCAGGTACAATCTATTTGCAGAGGACAAGGCCATTTGACGCGTGTGTGTGTGTGTGTGTGTCTCCATCTCTCTCTCTCTCTGTGTGTGTGTAGAGACACTACCCTCACAGGGAGAGTTTTCCATCTCCTTGTGCTGTTTTCCTCATGATGTTTCTCTGGGGAATGTGACTGTTGCTGGTCAGCTGGTGCTCTGGGAGGAAATGGAAAGAAATGGTGTTCGTCTCTCTCAAAACCCTTTCCCGAACAACACATACATGTATCTGTTTCAGATGCCCTTCTATCATCCACTCATCTCACAGAAGGTGATGCACCGCATACATTTATTTGTCAAAGTCTTTTTATTGATGTGTTTTATAAAGCATGCTTCCTTCCCTCTCTGGTGGTTTAGTACTTGGGAGACCGTTTCAGAAGATACACTTTTTTGGGGGTCTTCTCTTTCATTTTGTCTCCTGATGGAGAGATCTACAACTATCCTGCTTCTGCTGAGGCAGACCTGCAGGATGTAGGTATGTAATGTCCACCCACAAAAAAATCTTTGTGGCCAAGGCTATTTACGCTTGCTCTGCCAACAAAATTGCTCATCAGACAAAATTACAAAATAAACTTACCTGGTAACTGGAAGAATTGCATAGGGAATAAGAATAATAGATTTAGCTTTTGACCTGACTGACCCAAGTTTGAATCCAAGGTAAGTTGTAGGGGTTGAATTTTTGGGATAAGGACAAGGAAGGTCCCAATAAGGCAGCATCCATTTATAATTATAATAAAAATGATAATTTACACAATGTTATTCTTGCATACTGTTTCATATACTACAATACACTGATGTTCAAATAGCATCAACCGCTATTTGCAGGAAGTATAAATGGCATCTTACACTCATTGCAAATTGCAGTATTTTCTTTGGACTACATTTTTCACTTTGTGTACCGGGCATCTGTCACTATTTGCACTTACAAATTGCCTCTCTTAAAGTCAAAGGTAATCAAGCTAATCTCAAAATGAATACTGTACATTACAATATTGTGATGCCTAAATTCACTTGTAGCATTTAAAAATATTTTACTTTAGTTACATCCTGAACAAGTGCGTACCAGAGTACAAGTTGATTTTACATTTTACATTTCATGCGATATTAGAACTAGTGCATCTGAACTCAGTCCATCTCCTACATGTAGTCTCTGGATCGGTACCACTGTCTATATGGCAGTTTTCACATTATTATTTTTAACTAAATTGCCAGTGTGAAAGCCTCATAAAATGGTGCATAAATGCAGCAAGTCCAAAATGAGCGGTTAAGGCAGCACTGAATGTGTCCTTAATGAATAGAGCAATTACCGAATACATTTATTTTTATCTGTATCCCCTAGTTTTGCCCAAGCTGGAAGGGGAATGTACGGTGCAAGGTGTGCGTACATTGGCTTACTATGGTAATATAGACTCCTCTGAGTGGAGTTTGTATGTAGGAGGAATGAAGCTTAACTGGGAGCTGGTGGAGCTGGGGGGATTCTCACTAGATCCGCATGAGCTCTACCTCAGCCTGGAGGTGCCACTTTATGCCCCTGGCATGGCCTATGAGGTACAGGAAAGGCCTGAGACCAGCCATTATTCATTGAAGTCATGTAAGATGATTGTTATCAACTTTATAAATGTAAACCCTGAAAGATTAATATACTGGTTTCCATTGTTTCTTAGGGCTTGGGACTGCAAGGTCTGTTAGTGAGCGTTCTGGTGAGTTTAGTTCATCTGGAAACAGCAGAAGAACAGACTCGTGTGCAGCATTGTGTGTTCCCTGTGAGAGAGTTATTGGGTAACTTATACAAGCCACTGTACTCTTGATGGAAACTTGCTCTATACATACTCTAACTTTATCCAGAAGATCAAAAAACATGTTCCCTCTCTGTGCAGTGTGTCTGCCTGATGGAAGAATGGTGGTGATGGTCGACACAGCTGGTGCCTCTCCCCCAGTGAACCCCAATCACACAGCCCTTTTGGATCCTGCCTGTAGACCACTGGAGACTGACCACTCCAGAGCCATATTTAGCTTCTCCATAGACTCCTGTGGCACTGTTGCAACAGTAGGTGTTTGTCAGCCTCGGTGTATAGAGAAATAGAGAAGTTTCTAGTCTAAAGGTGGGGTAAGCGATAATTGAAAAACGCTGTTTGGAAGTTAGTTGGACGGGCACACAAACCACAAACATACTGTATGAAGGTGGAGGAGACAAAATGAGCAAGAGGTAGATTTGAAGAAAGACTGCAAAAATGGATATGGTTAAGGTTATGACTGGGCAAGAGTTTTAGGACCTGTGTTAATATTAGAAAAGCTTTCCAGTGCTGGAGAGCAAAGTGGGAAGGCCTGAAAATAGACATGGAGGTTGCTTTGATACTGCACCACACATGAGTAACACTGGGTTTGAGTGTCATTGTTAGTCTGGAGCTGCTGTGCTGTTGGCAACTAACAACCAACTCATAACTGTTTGTAATTATCATTGTGTACTCTATGTACATCTGCGCTTTATTTTTCGTGAAGCATTATTTTGTTGCGCTTCTGCTATGATAAATAGACCTCCACTCTTGGATTGCATGCGTAACGTCAGCTGGTAAGAGTCGTGCTGATGACGGCTAGAGAAGGGTGGTTGGGATTGGAGGGGGAGAAATGAAGAGAGGGGTGTATTTGTTTGGGTTGAATTCAGATATTAACAATGTCCAACAGTGTTTTTGAAATGTCACTTGCCCAACCTTTAAGCAATGCATAACGGCTGTATTTAGCCTTAAAGTACATTCAAAATTTACATTAAAATCTTTTCTACATTAATAACTTGTTTACAATATCAGTTAAAAAAAATATGGTACCTCTATCAATTTTAGGCAATTTCAGTGGCATAATAATGCATAATATTGAGATTCAGCTTTTTTGGGGTTATTTTAAGGTGCCCTGGTTACGGTTTAATTATATATTGAAGTACTGTGTAATATTAATTAACGAGCCCGTTCTCATCCCAAAGCGCCATATAGGACGCTTTTGCAAAAGCGTAAATATCCAACGCACATGGCACCCTTTAACGTGAAATGGGACGCAGATTTTTTTGGGCAGAAGGCGCCCCCTAGTGGTCTAACCCTTACCCTACACCTTACCTAAACTTAACCCTAACCGAAGCGTCTCATTAGACTTTAAAGGGTGCCATGTGCGTTGGATATTTACGCTTTTGCAAAAGCGTCCTATATGGCGCTTTGGGATGAGAACGCGTTGAATTAACATGTACTTGCTATAGGGTTAGAGGGAATAGAGTTTGGTTTTGGGTTAGTTGTATGTAATTATGGATAGTTTACTGTTATTAAAGGGTTAGTTCACCCAAAAATGAAAATTCTGTCAGTATTTACTCACCCTCATGTTGTTCCCCATCTCATTCCCCATTGACTACCATAGTATTCCTACTATGGTAGTCAATGGGGAATGAGATCTGTTTGATTAAAACATTCTTCCAAATATCTTCCTTTGTGTTCAGCAGAACAAATAAACACAGAGGTTTGGAACAACATGAGGGTGAGTAAATACTGACAGAATTTTCATTTTTGGGTGAACTAACTGTCTAATGCAGGAAGTTCATGCAATGCATAACGACACTAAAATGAAAGGTTACCCTTTTTGTAATGGTATAATTATAAATATTTAATTTAAATGTATCTCCCAGTCCTATTTACTGCAGTTTTCCTTTTTTGGCTTTCAGAACTTTATAATTTAATGAACATGTTTTAAATGCAGCATGATGGTGATCAGGTGATATACAGGAATGAGGTGAGAAACATGCCCCCTTTTCCTCCACAACTGAGACCTCTCAGCCAACCTCAACTACATTACAGGTATAAAACCTCTTTCTAATAAATTAATAACAAGCTCATAGTGCACAGTTTGACAGATGAATACAGTCTTCTGCCTTATGTTAGGGAGAATTCTCCAAAAAAGACAGGGCATTGTAGAGAATATCAAATGTACATTGAAACACTAAATGGGGCTTATGAGAGTGTATTTCCTAAACAGTGATGCATATTGCCTGTGTAGCACCAGCTACGTAAGCAAATAAAACTTCAGACAAACCTTATTAAATGCTGTATTTCTCTGGGGTTCAGGGTTCCACTTGGCTGTGTCCATCCGGAGAATGGAAATCGCACTCTTGCCATCTACCTGCCGTCCCATCCTCCCACACCTCTACCTATGAAACAAACGCTCAAAACTGCCTCACTCTCACACACAAGGCATCTTGAGTACCGAGGTGAGGAACTGATCTGTCATTAACAAGATTTCAATCGTAACAGGTACACAACCTACTAAGGTATTTGGCACTCTTTTGGTAGACAGTAGCAGCGCAACATGTCACAGGCCATGTCACATGTTGGTATCCTTCTCCTTCGCCTTCTACTGTGTGACAGGTGGTTTGACACCAAAGTATTGTGTATATTTGGGCACATTGCCCTCCCATCTGAAAGCTGATTAGTCTGTTTATTTTGATGTCCTAGTTATTTTGCTATACGCTGTTATTTGGTTTGTTTTTAATTTATACGGTAACGCTTTACAATAAGGTTCATTAGTTAACATTAGTTAATGTATTAACTAACATGAACTAACCATGAGCAATACATTTGTTACTGTATTTGTTCATCTTTGTTAACATAGTTAATAAAAATACAGCTGTTCATTGTTTGTTCATGTTAGTTCACAGTGCATTAACTAATGTTAACGAGATTTAAATAAAATATTAGTAAATGTTGAAATTAACATTAACAAAGATCAATAAATGCTGTATATGTGCAGTTCATATTAACTAATGTAGTTAACTAATGTTAACTAACGGACCTTATTGTAAAGTGTTACCATTTATACTTGTATTCTACTTTCACAATGGGAAAAAGACAGACAAAATGCACTTTATGGTCTCAGAATTTTGTCGATGGAATTGCAGTGATTTGTTATAGAAGCTAAATTATACAATTTTGTAAAATTAAAAACAACCAAAAGGCAACATAGCATTTTTTTTTTAATAAAAACGGGATCAGAGTAAATTTTACATTTTATTTGTTGAAGTGTTACAACAATAAAAGTTGGACATTTCAAGTGGTAGTTAAAATAATTTACATACAGGTATGTAGAGGTTCAGCTACAGTACCAAGGTTTGGGAACCCTGGTGCTGTTGCATAAATAGCTGCAAAGTTAAGACTAATTTGCCTTAACTAATTGCTAGTTGGGCAGATTAGCTCTTAAGACACAGTCTTACTTTTCATATTTAAATTGGACCAATCTACCTTTTTTGAAAACTTATAAAACATTATGATTTGTCTTGGGGGGGAAAGAGATAGTCTTACTAACTTGTAAGACTAGTCTGGTAACACTTTAGAATACTGTATCTTACTTGCTGCAGAATTAATAAGGAATTATTGACGAACTAATAGGTAATTCTTCATTAACTACTTCTTCACTACTGTTAACTACTGAGGAAGATGTGTTAACTAATTAGTATGTAATATAATTTTATGATTGTGTTAAGTATCAGTTAGTTAATCAATAACTAATGAATTCTGTCATCCCTCCTGAAGAACTACTACTAATTATCTACTAATTAAGGTTCAAGAAAAATAACTAAGAAGTAACTACTGAACAGTCATACAAAACTAACGTCAAATTATTTGCATATTTTATATACAGTACTGTGTGTGTCTGTTTTCCTCAGCATAGAATGCCACTGAGTAAATTCATGTATTTAAGACAACGACTGAGGGAAACTGAAAATATAGAGAACTTATTAGTAATTAATAAATAAGTATCAAATAATTCTGCAGGAATTACTTAGAAGCTGGAACAGTATTTTAAAGTGAAAATATAGGGAACCCATTAGTAATTAATAAAGAGTTATCAAATAATTAACCAGGAATTAGGCTACTTATAATCTGAAACAGTCTTCTAAAGTGAAAATATAAGGAACTTATTAGTAATTAATAAATAACTTTTAAATAGTTCTTCAGGAATTACTTAGAAGCTGGAACAGTATTCTAAGGTGAAAATACAGGGAACCCATTAGTAATTAATAAAGAATTATCAAATTAATTATCTAGGAATTAGGCTACTTAAAACCTGAAACAGTCTTCTAAAGTAAAAATATAAGGAACTTATTAGTAATTAATAAATAATTATTAGATAGTCCTTCAGGAATTACTTAGAACCTGAAACAGTATTCTAAAGTGACAATGTAGGGAACCCATTAGTAATTAATAAAGAATTACCACATACTTCTGACTCAAATCAAACTTACTGTAAACCTTACTGTAAACTTACTAAAACCTTATAATAATAAGGTGTAATATACATGATATGTTTTTGCTTATTTGTAGATCATAGCCTATAGGTAAATGTTTGCACTTCTCTTTCTTATTAGTGCTGAAGAATAACAAACTGACTACTGTGTATGACTGTTAATTAGTAGTTACTTCATAGTTATTTTTCTTGAACCTTAATTAATAGATAATTAATAGTAGTTCTTCAGGAGGTATGATGGAATTCATTAGCTATTGATTAACTAACTGATACTTAACACAATCATAAAATTATATTACATACTAATTAGTTAACTCATCTTCCTTAGTAGTTAACAGTAGTGACTTAAGTGTTAATAATGAATTACTTATTAGTTCTTCATTAATTCCTTATTTGTTATGCAGTAAGTAAGATACAGTATTCTAAAGTGTTACCGACTAGTCTTAGCAGTTTATGAAACCGGCCACTGGTTCTGAATGTTATAGTGCATATTGCATCCTAATTTTGGTACTAAGGTATTAAGATTAGTATGACTTTATACATGTACATGCTTTATAACATGCACATTCTTAATGTCTTGCATTAACTTATTTATTCAATATACTCTTACAGATAAAAAAAGGCCCTCAATACCAGTTGGAGGATGACACCCATAAAGGTAATCATGTTTATTTAATCATGTGTATTTGGGTAAATATAATTACATGGTAGTAAATATTGATGTATTGATTATTTTAAAGAATTACAGAGTAGTAAACATTGAATTGTTTGACCTGTGAATAGGGCATTTCTACACTCACCGGCCACTTTATTAGGTATACCTTTTCAACTGTTTGTTAGTGCAAATATCTAATTAGCCAATCAATGGTGTCAACCAAATATATTTAGGCATGTAGACATGGTCAAGATAATCTTTTGAAGTTTAAACTGAGCATCAGAATGGGAAAGAACATGACATGGTGGTTGGTATTTCAGAAACTGCTGATCTACTGGGATCACACACAATTACCTTTAGGGTTTACAGAAAATGATCCAAAAAAAGAGAAAATCCAGTGAGTGGGAGTTCTGTGGGCGAAATTGTGCCACTCCTGTCTACTAGGAACAGAAAACTGAGGCTATAATTTGCACAAGCTCACCGAAATTGAACAGTATGGGAAATTGTTGCTTGGTCAAATGAGTCTTGATTTCTGCTGTGACATTCAGATGATAGTCCGCATAAACATGAAAGCATGGATCCATCCTGCCTTGTATCAATGGTTCAGGCTGCTGCTGGTGTTATAATGGTGTGGGGGATATTTTATTTTTTTTGGCACACTTTGAGCATTGGCACACTTTGAGCATTTAAAGGTGCCGCTTGAATGCGTTGACGTATTTGAATTTTCTCTCTGATATCTACATAGAGGGTATGTGGCTTTATATGCAGTGGCTTTTAAAATGTCCAGATATGGTTTTGCAGGTCCATTTTCAACTAGAATGAAATGGTCTGTTTTTACCTTAATTTGGAAGGGTCATGAATGGTAATGAGTTCTGTTCTGATTGGATGTTTCACAGCGGGCTCAGTGAAACAAATGTACTAATGTTAGATGCCTTGTCAAATAAATATAGCTTCAACTTATGCGGTGGAGAATGTGATGTTAACTAGTAGGATGAAGTAGGGCTGGACGATTAATCGAAAAATAATCGAAACCGAAATTCAGAGCCTATAACCGATGTCATTTTACCATTTCGCTTTTTGAATCCTATTTATATTTCCGCCCACTGTGTGTTAATGTACTTTCCTCTTAAAACATAACTCCGCCCCTTCCAGTCTGCGACATTGAAGCAACATGAGCCCCTTTCACACAGTGTGTTGATCCCGGTAAATTGCCAGAACAAACACCTTCTGTGTGAACACAATCACGACCCGGGATTGGTGCCAGTTGTTGTAATGATGGCGCTTAAGCCGGGATCGTTCGCCAGCGTGAAACAGTACTAGTTTATGATCGAATCGGAGACAAAATGCATAAGTGGTTTCTTGAGAAAGAAATCGCAGCTCATAAGCAAACTATAGACGCCGCTGAGATACGTGACGTTTTTGAGGGTTGTGTGTGATTGCATTCTCTGATTCCTTAAATACTGAGTCAAATCAGCAACAGGAGCTGCTTGTACCAAAGAAACACGTGGAAAAAAGAGAGAGACAAAGACAAACGCCCAGCAACAATTGCCTCCACTCCACAAAGCAGCTTTCGATAACACGAGCATTTACAAACGCTACACAATATGAAAAGGATTTGTTTTTTAGTTTTATAAAAGTTATATTTTGCTTTTACGATGGCAATATTTACAATAATTTATTTTGTTTACAAAAAGAAGCATTTTCTACTTTTTTTAATATTTTGAAATATTAAAAAGCATTAAAAGCTATCTGTGTTTCCATATTTTAGAACCACATAGAATTATGCACTCTTTCATTAGAAAAAAAAACATTTTTACAGTATAAGCCTTGCCAGTGACATGAGATTTTTTTTTTTTTAAATAATCGTTCAATAATCGTAATCGAGGTAACTTGTTCGATTAATCGCGATCATGATTTTAGCTAAAATCGTCCAGCCCTAGGATGAAGTGAGCTAACATTGTCTGTGAGCAACTAAACTAACGTAGTTGGTCCCTGACTTGTTGTTGATGAAAGTAAATTTGACAAAAGGGAATTTACATGGGCATCTACAGTATTATTTTGTAGATTTGACAACACAGGCAAGAAATACTAACCTCAGCGTAAATACTTTTAGTTATACTCTTTAGTTATGTGTGCTCGTTACTTGGAGTTTTCCATTTGTTGCTGTGCTAGGATGGACCGTAACACTCATGTTACTGTACGCTGGATAGATAACACAGTGTAAATTATTAATAAAATCACTACTTAACGCTTAAGGGAATGTAGTTGGAATTGCCCCCTTCTTCAGTATGCGACACTGAGAGAAGCCTGCTTGATATTGTCCCAGGTTAGAAAATAAGTCTGTGGTGAAATGGCAGAGCAAACTAACAACTTTGTTAGGCTAACGTTATCTGATTCTAGATAAACCTCAACCACGCCTGTTGACATTCTTTTCTGTGGGAAGGGTATGAAAACTTCTCCCATCCCCTGAACAGCCTGGAACATAACATTGTTTCCATGATCTGCCATTTTCCCTATGATCCTCACTTGTTTGTTCACCTGCAGAACTTCCGATGATTTTGTATGTCCATGTACTGAACTCTTGTTGTTTAACTATGCCAAGATAAATTTAATGTCTCATTCTAGGGCACCTTTAAATGCTACAGCCTACTTGAGTTTTGTGATGGACATGGTTAGCAACTTTGACCACAGTATACCCATCATCTGATGGCAAAGCTCAAGTGATCTCAAACTGGTTTCTTGAACATGACAATGAGTTCATTTCTCGAAATGGCCTCCAGTCACCGATCTCAATCTAATAGATCAACTTTGGGCTTTGGTGGAACTTGTGATTTGACACATGGGTGAGAAGCTGACAAATCTGCAGAAACTGCGTGATGACCAGAATCTCTGAGGAATGTTTCCAGCACCTTGTTAATCTTGAATTAAAGCAGTACTGAAAGCAAGAAAGATGTCTAACTCTCTACAAGCAAGGTGTACCTAGTAAAGTGGCCGATAAGCGTATACTGCTATTTATAATCAAAACCTTTGCATTAAGCTGCATCCAAGGCAATGCATCTCAGAGTAAAGTCCAAGACTATGGTTTTATCCATTTTATCCCAAGTGTTTTATTTGCTAACAGTGGGGTAAACATGAAAAAGGAGCTAACTGAAAATGTCTAATTGTTGTGTGTTTGTTTGTGTTGGATTATTACAAATGTAGCAATAAAAAAAACTTGCCTGCACTGTTTCTATGGAGCTGAAGGTGGACCCTAACAGCATAATGAAAGGGGCTCATCCCGTCACATCATAACAACAGTTCTGTCCAATAAAAGTTTCTTCTTGATGAACAATCCATGCTTCCGTTCTGACATTTGTAAAATTTCTCTTGATTTTCTAAAGATGACATTTGTAAAGGAGTTACTTATTAACCAGAACTTCCCATTTCAATAAGAAAGGTGTCACACCACTTCAAGTTGTCTTTAAAAGTCAGTTTTTTTTCCATTTAAATTGGGCATAAGTTATTATGCTATTGTGGAGTGATGGGGATCGGGATGGGTAGCGGTTGCCTCTGGTACTTTTAGGATAAGTCATTAGGAGTGTTTTCACTGGTTGTTTGGGAGATTTGGTACTGCTGTCTCACGTTCCGTCGTCTCTGGTGATCACTGGTTACTTCTAGCACGTTCACTGCTGGAAACCAGCCCTTCTTTCCATCACAGAGACGCATGCCTTCATACCAACCTTAAGGAGAGGAATGAACATGGAAGTCAGTTTTAGTAAAAGTCCATTAAAAATTTAAGTGATTTTATTTTAACTGTACCTTCACTGGTTTTGCGCAGCACATTGATGACATCAGATGGCTCCAAGTTAAGCTCGTCTGCCTGTTTTCCTACATACTGACTGACGCACTGGACTTGAGGACAATCTGACACACACACACACACACACACAGTGACACACACACTTTATAGAGCAAGATGCACTGTGTAACACAAACACCTTGTCCAAAGTATAATTGGGGTAGCTTATAAGTCTATATTGGAACCTTTTACAATAGTGGAGTTATTTCTCACTTTAGTTTTGAAACATTGGGGCATATACAATAGCAGTATTTAGAGTAAATAACCATTGACTTAATTTTTTATTTTCCATTTAAAGAAAATGCTAAAAGACTGTGTATTCCTTCTCACAGTGTCTGTGATGAAATAAACTCAAAGCTTACCCCAGTCCTCATAAATCTTCTCCTCTCCAAGTGCCTTTTTAATCAAAGGGAAAGCAGCTATCCACCTATGCATGTCTGACCTGGAGAGGGTTAAAAAGAATGAGAGTTGTGAATGTTTAAAAATGTAAAAATACTGGTTATTTACAAAATGGAATAGGAATGCATGTCATGTGTCAACAATCTATTCTACTCTGAATAGATCCAGATGTATGAGTAAAACCATTAATCTCACTCTGTATTAGCCTTGAGCAGGTGTTCACAGGTGCGACCCCGATGGTTTTCCAGGAGGGTCAGAGAGAAACAATGATCCAAGTGTGGTCCCAGAACGTTTTCTGTAGACTGCACCTGAACCAGAGATCGATGAGCATGATCGATCACCACAAATCGGTCTGGACATCCACTGTGGAGGGAAGGGAGGCAGAGAAGTCACTCCACCGAAATTACATGGAACAATTTGTCCCAGAACTTTATTCCCCAGACCCGTTGATGTCTGCATTTCCATTGTGGTCTAAAAGTACTGTGTAAATTAGGCAAATTATTCTAGTAACGTAGAACTACGTACAATGTTCCAGTTCCTGGTGTATTTAGCCGTCCAAATATAAGCTTAAAGGTACAATATGTAAGAATTTTGTAATAAAATATCCAAAAATCACTTGCACATTGTGATATATTTCCTGCAGTTGTGTACTTACAATATACCAAAAGTCTCCAAAGATTTTCTTATTTCAGAGAAATTCCAGTTTTAAATAAGTGGCCGTCCCGGAAAAAATGTCGCCTGTCAATGCGCAATATTCGCGCTATCCTCGGTTTCCGTTCATAATGCCATAGCCATGACGAAACCATGGCGACAGATAGGGCTGTAGTACTCGAGTCCAAGACCGGACTCAAGACCGTTTTTGGAATTCGGACTCGGACTTGTCTCGGTCTCGGCCACTGGTCTTGCCAAATATGGCTTTTGGTCTGGACTCGAGACCGTTTTTCTATGGTCTCGGACTTGTCTCGGACTCGCTGAAATTCGGACTCGGACTTGTCTCGGCCACTGGTCTTGCCAAATATGGCTTTTGGTCTCGACCGAGTCCAACATTTTTGTATGTGTGTTCATTTATTACTAGACTATCAGGGTAACGTTAACTTAGAAAATGCCAAAATTAACTGACCAAGTGCTCACTACAACGGAGCGCGTTGTAGAGAATCGAGGCGAATCAAACACAACTTAATCAAATTAATCTCTCATGGGATTAATTCACATGGCTTCAACACTCCAAAAGTTCTGGAGCCAACAAAGACCATGACAAGCAGACTTTGGGACAAAGAAGGAGAACTAAAACGAGGATCAATATCAGCGTGGTGTTTTTGAGATGCCGAGAGCTCCACATCCGTGACTAATTTGCACTTGACAGAGCTTCACGAGTCACGACTTAACAGCTTTATTAGATGGGTGAGCAAATATACATAAAACAAATCAATTTATATAAAGTTAGCTCAACATGATGAAATGTTTTGAATCTGGTCAGTATGTTATTCTAATGTTGATCTAGCTTCCTTCTAGTTTGGTATAGCAAATGAACTAACATGTAGTATAACATTATAACTTTCAACACATTTAAATGCTGTTTAGTGTGTAACGTTAGACCAAGTAAAGCAGCGCTGCGTTACCTCTGTAACGAATTGAAGCAAATCAAACACAACAGAACCTATGTGAGTTAAACACCACATTCCAGAGTCACGGGATTGCTCCAGAGTGTCTGGTTTGGGATAAGGAAAACCCCAGATAAGTTTTTCTTTATGGCCGCAGGCCCAAAAGATGGGCACTAAACAGGAAGAACTGTCAATGCGTTAATGTTTTACTAAGACAGATCTACTAAGACAGATCTGCTCAGAAAGGCCTGACCACCAAGAGGCCTGACCACCTTTTGACCTCCCCCAGCATCATCACTGTTGAGCCGGACAAAGACATAACACAGACCACCTTTCATGGAACATGAGAGTAACATAGACTTACACCCTTTTCACAGAAACTTACTTACTTACAGAACAATTACTGATGGACTTACACATTCAATTCTGTGTTTTCTATTGCCTCCTACAATATAGGTGTGTGGTTATTATGTCTTCCTGCAATTCATGTCTTGTGTTTATTATGCTTAGATCACATATAAGTCATGTAATTGTGACATAACTCTTCTGTGTGAATGAGAGTATCATGCTTCCTATCAAAAGAATCATACGCTTTTAATTCAAAAGATGGCTTGATTGAAATCTGTGTAAAATATTTTGTATAATCTATGTTTAAACTGTGGTCTTTTGTCTCTCTGCTAAGTGCTGGAGACCAGGCAGCTTATGATAAGTAGAAGATAGATCCCTCTCCGAAATGATGCCATTGTCTCATTGGCCAGACGTTTTCTGGGAGGTTGGACTAACTTTTAAGTTAAAGGTCCGAACAAAGGAGCAAGACCTCATTGTTCAGTTCGTTTGATGTTCGTTCAGTTTTTGTAACTGTTAAGTTTGCGCCTCTCTCAAAACAGCAAGAGTGTTCCTGTTCGCGCTTCTCTCTGAAAACAACAAAAAGCGTGTTTGCATGTTTCTACATCGACCAGACCAAATTTGACCAGCAGACCAATAACCCATCAAGATCGGGGTTAAAACATCTCGTCTCCCTTTCATTTCTTTCCTATTTTTTCTTTTTCGTAAAAGTCTCGTTTCAAAGTTAAGTTTGCTGCAAAGTTCGTTCAAACGTCTCTCCTGCAACGCGCTTCGAAAAGTAAAGACTGCAATTCGCCTGCCAACCACACGTGACCGGCAGCTCAGAAACTTCCATCCAGGCACTTCAAAGACAACCAGCCACGCGGACCCGGGAAACCCCTTCGAATCAACACGACAAAGGGAATTCCCTAAGCAACGCAAAGACAAGCAAGTAGTCCAGACTCTAACTGAACTGGTGCTTTAATGTAAATTTAATAACCTCTCTAAGAAACGAAGGTTTAAATTAAAGGACAACTCCGGCTCAAAATGAACCTTTGGTCTAATTACACATTGTTACCTAGTCAACCGTTATCTGAGATTTGTTTTCATGATTGCTGAATGTAAATAGTTTTATCTCTAAAAACAGTTTAGCCTATAGCGCTAGTATAATGCTAGTATATAGGGCATAGAGTAATGACAAATAAAAATCGCTTGTTATTACCACTAACAAGGCTCAAAATAGCCCCACAGTTACACGGTAGCATAATAAGGGTCCCTACATTCAAACCGAAGCATTGAGAACTTTGTCAGTGTCCATACAGTTTAATAAGAAGATATTTTATACATACAGTCAACTTCGCGAATACAGGAAGAAGCCATCTTTGAAAAATAGTCCCTACCAGTCGATCTACGAACGCCGATCCAAGTGCGCTGAACTGTGCAGAATCTCATATGGTCCGTTGTTTCCGGAAGAAACACAAACACGAACCGTTTTCTTCTGTTCAATATGTACACGTAGCCTACTGTTCGCGATCACCTTATTCACATCTCACCAGCGCAATTGGATCGGCGCTCGTAGATCGACTGGTAGAGACTATTTTTCAAAGATGGCTTCTTCCTGTATTCGCGAAGTTGACTGTATGTATAAAATATCTTCTTATTAAACTGTTTGGACACTGACAAAGTTCTCAATGCTTTGGTTTGAATGTAGGGACCCTTATTATGCTACCGTGTAACTGTGGGGCTATTTTGAGCCTTGTTAGTGGGAATAACAAGCGATTTTTATTTGTCATTACTCTATGCCCTATATACTAGCATTATACTAGCGCTATAGGCTAAACTGTTTTTAGAGATACAACTATTTACATTCGGCAATCATGAAAACAAATCTCAGATAACGGTTGACTAGGTAACAATGTGTTATTAGACCAAAGGTTCATTTTGCGCCGGAGTTGTCCTTTAAGGCCCTCTGCTATTCTCTATATATATATGCTGCCACTTGGTAATATTATAAGAAAACATGGAATTAATTTTCACTGTTACGCTGACGACACTCAATTATATATTTCATCACGACCAGATGAAAACACTAACTCATTTAAAATGACAGAGTGTCTCAAAGATATAAAATGCTGGATGACGCGTAATTTCCTGCTATTAAATTCAGATAAAACGGAGGTATTACTTATTGGTCCAAAAAACTACTCACAAAACCTCTTACAATACAGCTTTAATATAGACGGATGTCCTGTTACTTTATCCACTACAGTAAAAGACCTGGGTGTTATACTAGACCGCAACTTGTCTTTCGAAAATCATATTTCATATGTTACAAGAACAGCCTTTTTCCACCTTAGAAACATTGCTAAGCTACGTAACATGCTATCTATTTCTGATGCAAAAAAATTAGTTGACGCATTTATGACCTCAAGACTAGATTACTGTAATGCTTTCTTAGCCGGTTGTCCTGCATCCTCAATAAACAAGCTACAGTTAGTGCAAAATGCAGCTGCTAGAGTTCTTACTCGGTCAAGAAAATATGATCATATAACACCGATTTTATCATCTCTACACTGGTTACCTATTAAGTTCCGTATCAACTACAAAATACTACTACTGACCTATAAAGGCCTAAATGGTTTAGCTCCTATGTACTTAACAGACCTTCTTTCGCCCTACAATCCACCGCGTTCCTTAAAGGAACACTCCGACTTTTTGGGACTTTAGCCTATTCACCTTACCCCCCAGAGTTAGATAAGTCCATACATACCTTTTTCATCTCCGTGCGTGCTACAAGTCTGTTTGACGCACCCACCGCTAGCCTAGCTTAGCACAAAGACTGGATGTGAATGGTTGCAGCTTTCATACTAATCCAAATGAGTGACAAAATAACGCAAACGTTTTCCTATTTACATGTTGTGGTTTGTATAGTCACAGAGTGTGCAAATATCAAGGCCATATGAGAGTATGAAGTATGAAGTATGTTTTGAACGGTGAGAGGAGTCTCTTAAATGCTTAAATTGGGCATTGCGTTCATGAAATCAACACATACGGTATGTCTGTGATTGGCTACATCGCTCAACGCTGCAAACATGTTATAAATAGAAACTCTGGCCTGTAAATCGTTTCTATTTTGTTTTACTTGTTCTTGATGCTTATCCTGCAACAGATAAATGCAAATCTATTACTTTTTATGTTTTAATCATAGATATTTCTAGTTTGCAGGAGTCCCATGAATCGTTTTATTCTCCTGCAAACCACACACACAGAGAGTGAGTACATTACCGCCCGCGCTCGGCCATCAAATGTAGTCCCGCGCCGCACTCTATTGCGCTGGCAGTGCATGTCTCTCAAGGGCCCGGCCCGACTCGAGGAATGTGACGGGAAATATCGTTCCGACCCGCTCGGGCAGAATAAGCTAGTTCACTCCTACGCTAAGGAACAAACTTCCCACTTTCACCGGTAGCCATGTTGTCGCTTGCTGTATGCTGTTGCCGTTTCGTGTGTGTGCTATGATGTTGTTGTTGTCGCTTGCCATACTGCTACGTGAGTGAAACTAACGCTACGGAAACTCCGGGGAGCCAAAAATGTGACATTACACAAAAACTCGATTTACTTATTTTTTAAATCGCCCGCAACAAAAAAATCGAATTAATTCATTTAATCGATTTTTCGCCCAGGCCTACATGGAAGAAAGCATTTGCCAAGGTCCTTTTCACACCTCCAGGGACCCTAAAGGAGCCTACCAGCTCCCTCCCCATGATCCCGGCCCAAAACACTTCCAACTCCGCCACCTCCTTGCTGACGTTGTAGCCTTATTGGGACATGGTGGCCACCTCACTGAGGATTGGTTAGTTACCAGCATCTTCAAATACCTGTTTGCTGCTTTGTAATGGCATTTTAGCAGCTGCTCTCTTAATCTGATGCATTTGTCTGGCAGTAACCTTCCTCATTATGCCTTTATCTGCACAAACCCGTCTATGCTCTAAATCAGCCACAAATCTCTTCACAGGACGATGATCATGCTTAAGTTTTCGTGAAATATCAAATGTTTTCATGTATTGTCCAAGGCATTGCACTATTTGACTCTTTTCTGCAACACAGAGATCCTTTTCTTTCCCATATTGCTTGAAACCTGTGGCCTGCTTTATAATGTGGAACATCCTTCATAGGTCCCATTTACACTGCATGGTTTAAGTGACCCAAATCCGATTTTTCCCTCTCATGTGGCACAGATTGGATATGGCCGGTGAATGTGTAAGCAGGAAAACAACGCATGGATTCCGATTTTCTCAGATCAGATTCAGGCCTCACCCTAGCCCCTTTTCCACCAAAGCATTTTGAGAGCCGGTTCGGAGCCGGTGCCTGCGCGCGAACCAGTTCTTTGTGTTTCGACAGCCAAAGAACCGGTTCGCGGCCGGGAAAACTGGTTCCAAAGCTGCACCAACTCTTTGCTGGACTAGAACCATTCTTTTAGCACGTCATGTTTACGTTGGGGGCTGGGGCGGGTTTAGATGTGTTCTAAACATCTTTTCTGACCATCGCAAACCCAGGAGAAACTGCAGAAACACGAAAGCATTTTTATTTATTTATTTTTTTTATTTGAAACATAAGCAAAGAAGAAAACTGTCACGATATAGAACAAATAAATGGAAAGAAAAAAGACACAAGACAGGGGTACATAACTTATCAGAAAAGATTACATATCAAACGAAAAGATTAAAAGACTTACATATTTCAATTGTTTTTCAAAAGTTTTCTTGGTACACGAGTTAGAGATAATCCCAAAGCAATGTACTTGCAAGCGTTTCTAGTGACGTGCACAGTGACGTAACGACGTCGTTCCCTGGGCGCTCTAGTCAGTGGAAAAACAAACAGGTTCTGAACGGGTTCGCAAGTTGAACCAACTCCGAACCAACTTTGAACCAGCACCAGTTCCGAACCAGTTCTTTTTTTTCGGTGGAAAAGGGGTGTCATATGTGGTAATAATTCAGATATTAATCGGATACGTGCAGTTGTGTGTGCCACGCAAGCATACAAATCGGATATTCCCCAGTAATGTGAGTCGTATGTCATTAAAAAAGTGAGGTGGACAACTCAGGTGGACAGCATCAACTGAGATCACATGACTTATTATAGGCGCGATGGAAGACAGAGGATACACACAGTGGAGCAATGCGGAGGTTTTATGTCTCTTGAGTGTTTGGGGCGAAGAGCGCAGGCAAAAATCCTGGGTTGTTACAGAAATGAATCCATATTTGAAGATATTTCATGAGATATGGGGAGGCATGGTTTTAAGTGCTCGTGGCTACAGTGCCAACAAGGGCTCTCCTCTTTTTCAGATTCCTTTATTTGTCATTTTCATGGTGTACATAAAAACGAAATTGTGTTTCACACATACACTATTCAGTAATTCAGTGCACAATTTAAATATAAGTATAAGAATAATAGAATACATTAAAAAGATAAAAAAAATTAATAAAATAAATAAAAATGAAAATAATAAATAAATATATAGTTCAAATCATGTTCTCTGGTTAAGAAGTCTAATAGCTGAGAGAAAGAAACTGTTTAATAGCCTACTAGTTCTTGCCCTGGTACTTCTGTATCTTTTACCAGACTGAAGGAGTATGAACGTGGCACATGAGAAATGAGTAAAGTCCTCAATGATGCGATTTGCTCTGTACACACAACGCTCTCTGTAAATGTCCTGAATATGTGGCAGTGACACACCAATGATTTTTTCAGCAGTTCTCACAATCCTGTTAAGCTTATATCTCTCCTCTGCCGTACTGTTCCCAAACCAGCAAGAGATACAGTATGTGAGAATGCTCTCGATGGTGCCTCTATAAAACATGGTCAAGGCTGGAATAGGGAGATCTACCTTCTTCAGTCTTCGAAGACAATGAAGGACTCGCTGTTGGGCCCTCTTGATTATAGCTGTTGTGTTGTCACTGGAGGTCAGCTCATTTGTCAGATGGACCCCCAGGAACTTGACGCTGTTTACTATATCCACCTCAGAACCGTTAATGGTCAGAGGGAGATGGTGCCGACGACTAGTCCTCCTGAAGTCGACAACCATCTCCTTAGTTTTTTTAGTGTTAAGGACAAGGTTGTGTGTTTTACACCATACTGTCAGCTGTTCCACTTCCTCTCTGTAAGCCGATTCATCATTGTCAGTGATGAGGCCAACAACTGTGGTGTCATCAGCGAACTTTAAAATATGATTGGTGGTAAAACTTGCAGAACAGTCATGTGTCAACAAAGTAAACAGTAAAGGGCTAAGTACACACCCTTGTGGTGTACCCATGCTCACTGTGGTTGTCTTAGATATTCTTTTACCTATTCTGACGGTCTGCCGCCTCTCCGTCAAAAAGTCCAAAATCCATCTACACATGCCATGATCCACTCCCAGCACTATCAGCTTTTCAATCAGTTGTTGTGGCACAATTGTATTAAAAGCAGAGCTAAAATCAATAAATAAAATTCTTGCAGAAGTGTTCCTGTTTTCCAGATGTGTCAGACTGAGATGGAGCAGGATAGATAGAGCATCCTCCGTTGATCGGTTTGCTCTATATGCGAACTGCAATGGGTCCAAACTGGTAGGGAGACATGATTTGATGTGGTTCATAACAAGCCGCTCGAAGCATTTCATGACTATTGGGGTCAGGGCCACAGGACGATATCATTCATGGTGGCAAATTTGACGTCTTAGGCAGAGGTATTATAGTTGCACTTTTGAAACAGATGGGCACTCTGGGTTGGCTGAGGGAGATGTTAAATATGTCTGTAAAGACATCCTTCAGCTGTTCGGCACCATTCTTCAACACACAACCTGGGATGTGATCTGGACCAGCCGCCTTTCTATGGTTGATTTTAGAGAAAACCCTCTTCACGCTGTCTGACGTCAGCTGGAATGCCTGGTTGATGGAAGGCAGAATCTGCCTTTGTGCTAATTTATCATCTGTAATCTCGAACCGAGAGAAAAAGTTGTTAAGATTATCTGGTAGAGAGGGATCATTTTCTGTTGTTTGGACAGTAGGCTTATAGCCTATAGCTGTCCGAAATCCCTGCCACAACCGCCTTGTGTCCCTGGTGTCATTGAAATTACTTGACAACTTTCTTCCATACTCTCTTTTTGCCTCTCGAATTGCTCTCTTTAGATCATTTCTTGCTAAATTGTACGCTTCAGTGTCACCAGATCTAAATGCAGCATCCCGAAGCCTTAGCAATGATCGAACCTTTTCTGATCCTCCTCGATTGATGACTTTTCAAACATCGGATTTGGGCATCAAAACATCCAGTACAAATGCACCCTTTAGTAGTTTTCCTTTAATTGGGCTCACCTTGCAAACTAATTATCACAGGTGTCTGAGATTGATTTCAGTGATCCAAAGAGGAACAACAGGTCCTCGACATAATAGAGCAGCTGTGTTTGCAAATGCAAACAGACGAAAAGGGTTTGCACCAACATAAATGTGACTGCTACTCTGAATGCATCCATGATCACCAAAGCCAAATGAAAATGAATACATAGGTCGCTCTTTTGACGCAGGTGTAAGTTCTGTCACATACTGTGATGTCGGCTGCTCAAAACTCAGTTTTTCTGTTTGCATGCAAACATGCAAACAAAGTTTTCCAAAATGAGAGTTTTTAGAAAGAATCCTTTTCAGAGGCGAATTCTCCATTTGCGTGTAAACGAAGGGCACCAACGAATGGAAATGTTTTTCAAAATAACCATGTAAACGGGGCCTAAGTCTTTGATTAGCTGGTTCATGTAGGTTTTATTGGGGTTGGAGCTAAGCTCTGCAGGACAGTGGCCTGCCAAGAGCAGGATTGGATACCCTATAGACCAGGGGTTCTCAACACTGGCCCTCAAGGTCCACTTTCCTAGAAAGTTTAGCTCCAATCTTGATCAAACTCACCTGTCAGCTAGCTTACTAATGCTGAAGACCTTGATTAGCTTCTTCTGGTGCTTAGCCTATTCAGTTGCATACTCATGACACACAGCAACACAGATAAAATAATTCTTAATACATTGAATCTTTTATTGAAAGTAGTCTTCTTTTACCTGTTGAGATGTGGCTTTACATTTTAAAAATATTTTAAAAGTTTTTTGTAATACCTTTTTTTAGTGGTGAGAATGAGAAGGTCATTGAAGAGGAACATGTATACAGGAGTACATTTGTTGCGGATGCTGAAGAGAGACCCTCTTTTGCTTAGCTCTTGTAGTTCCCCCTGTTTTTCTAAACAGCGTGTTTTAGAAACAAGTGGAATGGCCTGTAGAAGTCAAGAAACACAAATTATTATTGTAAATTGTATCGGTTAAATCCAGCAAATAAATATATTATTTTGGCATATTAAAATAATACATGTCTGCCTTTTATATGTTAGTACAAGAAAATGGTAACTTTCAGAAATTTCTAACAATATGGTAGCTGAAGTTTTATTTGACCTATTCAAACTCGTTCATCAAAATGAACAAATCTTTTTTCGAGTCATTTCGTTCATTTTGTTCATTGAATAAAAGAAATGACTTGAAAAAAATATTCATTCATTTTGATGAACGAGTTCGAACAGGAGAGTCACGAACGTGCATCACAGAACAGAGCAAGGCGAGCATTTGTACTTATAAAACTTAAACTTTTTTATTTATTTTTGAAATGACCAATCGTTTCGCTAGAAAAGACCCTTATTCATTGTCTGGTAGCGTTTAAAGCCCTTTGAAGCTGCACTGAAACTGTCATTTGGACCTTGAAACTGTTGGAGTCCATTGAAGTCCATTATATGGAGAAAAATCCTGTAATGTTTTCATCAAAAACCTTAATTTCTTTTCGACTGAAGAAAGAAAGACATGGACATCTTGGATGACATGGGGGTGAGTAAATTATCAGCAAAGTTTTTTTTTAGAAAAGTGAACAAATCCTTGAACAGTTCCATTTATGATATAAAGTAATAAATGTATAAAATTATAAATTCATATAAATTATTGCGCTTAACACTCTCCTTGAGAGGCTTACTGTGACTGCTGTACATGTCCAGATGAGATTGCATCTGTAGGATCAGTATGTGTCTGCTTAGGTGCATTTTGTGTCAAGGTGGGGTGACCTGTCCCTGTGTATGTGCACTTGTTCCATCGAAATCCATAAGATCCTTGCATTCAGGTTCCTCTGTGCATTCTTGTGTTGCTGAAGGAGTGTGCTCCTGAAGGCAACAACGATTTCTCCTGATCAGCTTTCCTTCTGTCGATTCTGTAATGTTTACGATTTATAACATGTGACTTATTTTATATTATTTCCACATGTGATGTGTTTTAGTTTGGAAGCAGACATTGTTTATCAAGTCCACAAGGGGGCGTTGGAGTTTCATAGTTGAGTTGAGACTGCGGAAGCAGTGGTGGGATTCCGTTAAATGTGTTGACAAAGAAATTAAAAAATTGTAACGGAGATTGAGAAGTTCACTAAAAAGTCTGAATACTACTTTGCTGTGTCAGAGTATTATTCAGAAACTTTACAGTTTCTACTACATAAGACCTTGTTGTGGAAAAAGAACCTTGAATGGTCCACTGGTTGGTCCAGGCTTTTTGTTTGTCCAATCTGAATCCTTAACGCAGGTAAGTTTCTTTCTTTATTTCTGTGATTGTTATAGAATTCTTGTTTACCTTCTGCTAGAGTATCAGTATTTCTGACTTCTGGCCAGGCAGGTTTCAGGTTCTCTTCCAGTTCACGGACAGCGTCTCCTTAACGCAGATAAGTTTCTTTCTTTATTTCTGTGATTGTTATAGAATTCTTGTTTACCTTCTGCTAGAGTATCAGTATTTCTGACTTCTGGCCAGGCAGGTTTCAGGTTCTCTTCCAGTGAAGTAAGTGTGTTTCTAATTTTCATTCTTCATCCCATGAGTAGTTCTGCTGTGCTTGAACCCTTTGGAGACTGATGGGGTGGCGCTGTAAGACATGAGAGCCAGCAAAGAGAGTCTTTTAGCCTCAGAATGATCTTGGCAATCTGTACGGCCCTTTCCTCATGGACATTGCTCGATGGGAAGTGGGGACTTGAAGTAAAATGAACAAACTCAGCTTGCATGAGATCCTGGAACGGGCAAAGGTGGCAATGAGTTTTTTCAATCACTTGGCTGATAGAGGGAGGAGGAAGTGACAGGATCTGGACCAGGTAATTACCAAGTAATGGCATTTATTGTGTTCACACAGGCTAATGGCCATTTTCTCCCAGGTCCTACTGGGTAATTCACTTGGACAATGGTTCCTTTCATTGTGCTGCCCTTGTTTCGTCTCAGTATGAGCCCTCCTGCAAATTCGGTTAAATATCCTCTGAGATGTTAGGCCACCAAACTGTCTGATTAGCCCTTTTAAGACACCTATGTTGGCCTTAAAGAACAGGATGGGTTCTATCCATGATTTCCTTCCTCATACAGGTAAGAACAGGTAGGAACTTTGTTTGCCTCTCATGACTAAGCCATGGAACTCAATCAGCTCTCCTCTCACATGAAAATACTCTTGGATGGCCTCAAGCAAGGTGTGCTTGCTGCATAATCTGGCCAGCCATTTCCAAACTACCAGAGCATTGACTGCAGCTGGCTGTAAGATTCAGTCACGTCCAAGTGATCTGAGGCCGCGGGCACTTCGGTCTGTGCAAGCCCTGGAAAGCACCGGAAGTGATCTCTCTCACGGTTGCGAAAAAAATTCAATGCTGTCTGTTGATGTATTGAAATCGTCTTCCATTTGCGATTTCCTGTATATCTAAATATGTTTAGATTTTCACAGTGAAAGGTAACACTTCCGAAATCTCTGTGTAAACAATGAGTGAAGTACATGCGCGAGATATCATTTCTGGCGCTTGTGCAGACCAAAGTGTCCACACCCTCAGATCACTTGGACGTGGCTGTGGTTACATGAGGTAAAAAACAATATGTTCACTTTCTCACACAAACCACTCGTTTCGTGTCTTAGGCCATCAATGTGTACTTACATTTACGAGTCATTAAATCATGTTTAATTTGGACTTCTCTGTGTATGCTCTTTGAGGTGGACCCCATATTATATGACTGACAGACAAGAACGGTTTGAAAATTGAAAATACTGTGGAAATAAAGACACCTGCATCTTGGATGCCCTTGAGCTAAGCTAAAACATATCAAAAATTACATTTCAAAATGAATCCTATCCCTTTAAGAGGGATTTAATAAAATCCACTAGCTGAGTCCAATGAGCCAAATATCTTGGCAACAGAGAGATAACCTCCTCTGTTGTGGAAAGAACAAATTTCTCCCTCATTACTGCCTTATTTAGCTTTCTCAAATCAACACAGATGCAAACATCTTCATTGGGCCTTGAGCACTGGAACTATGGCTGCACACTGGTTTGGTTACTTAGCCATATGGAGAAAGAAGGCATCAATGACAGAGTTCAGCTTTCACCTTGGGCAGAAGAGAAGGAGGTAGATGACTTGATTCACTGCATAGGGTTTAGCTCCTTTATTTAAGACAATTTTCACTAGTTCTGTTTTCAGCTTGCTTCCCTGATGTGAAACATCTTTTATTTTATTTATTTGCATTTATAGTGTTCAAGTTGGTGTGACCAGGTGTTCTCCTCCCATGTTGTTTATTTTAGTTAACTAGTGCTCACCGCCTACAAATTTTCTTTAAAGGGAGGGTTGACTGCTTTTTTTCTTTGCATGATTGTATTTATGGGGAGCAATATAACATGTATTCGTGGTTTTTCTTTTTTTAAAAGTCTTATTTTTCATAAACTTCACCTTTATTGTCAGCCACGCTCTCCTCTGTCCCCTGAACGAGCTGTTCACTTCTGATTCTATGAAAACACTCCCTCAGAAACACGTAGTGGGCTCAGATTGGTTAGTTTTGCCCGGTGTGTTGTGATTGGCTAAACTGTCGCTCACGTTGTCCGGAAGGTTAACACGCATTACCTTTACAGGCGAAACGTGCGTGTCATGAGCTTTGGTCCAGATGTAAATATATGTCGAACTGCAGTATCAGTTTCAGGCATAATCAGACCGAGAAAGCCGCGATGAAGAGAGTCAAGCAGAACCTCACCACATACTACAGCTCTTACTAAATGTTTATGAATGATAATTTGCTAAATTTTTTAACTTTATACACGTTTATTTTACACAATAGCATCTGACTGGCAACAATAGCAACTGACTGGCTACTAATGTTATACTCAAACAGCGCTGGCATGTTTAAGTTCTTGATCAAATCGAAAATAACGTCATAAAGCATATATCCATGAAAAATATGTTTAAAACATTAGTACTTATAGAAAATTCAGGTCCATAATGTGTGTACGCGTTTGTCGTAGACACAAAATAGCATTGGCTAACTAGTAGTGGCTATAAAGCCAGTGCTGGCATTTGAAAAAAATAAAACACAAGGCTAAAGTCGGAACTGCTTCATGTTTTAGTAAAAGTTTCTTGTTGAATCCGGTGTGGAACTCGTGGAGATTCTGGAAGCTGTCTTCCGTAAAATGCGCAGCACAGAGAGCTAGATTACGATCGCCATTTTCAGGAACATAATCAAACATAAATTGTATCCATTGTTGAGGAAGTATAGCGTCCATGGAAAGCCCGAACACAGAAGACCTGACAGCTGCGTGAACAACACACTCGACGAGTCGACGTGCCTCATAAATATGCGCATTCCATTTTCTGCATATTCTGAGGGAGGAGTTGATGCAAATGTGTGGGTTAGTGATGTACCATAACCCAGCTGTAGTCCCAATCGAGTCATTTTTGTACTTCCTGATTTTTAAAAGACGATATCTCTGCTTACACTGAACTTTCAGCACTGCAACTTTGCAGATACTGTTCATGCACCAACAGCAACATTACACACTATTTAAAATGAAAAAAGTGAAATTGCAGTCAACCCCCCCTTTAATCAATGACGTATCATTTTGATCTGCTATAAATAGCCTATCTCTACTCTTGTTGACACACATAATTTCCGACTGACCCGGGGGTTCTCCTTTGCTTCCAGCGTCCTTGCATGGTGACTGCAGCTGTATGCCAGTTTTTCCCGCTTTTGAAACGACACTCTTTCTTCTGGTAAGCTGTTACCTCAGTAAGAGGTTGAAACTGCTGAGTATTAGTCTGACGAGCCGGTATCCTTTTAGCTTGTTTCAGGCAAGGGTAAATCAGAGTGCGACGCTGAAGGATCAAAACGAAACCAAGCGATCTAAAAGATTGACCGTTCAGAGTGATTGACTGAGTCTATGGTCAGGTCAGTTTTTATCATGGAAAGAGAC